TAATACTGCAATATAACGGTGATAATACTGCAATATAACTGCAGTAGTACTCCAATAATATTGCAATATAACTGCGGTAATACCGCAATATAACTGCAGTAGTACTACAATAATACTGCAATATAACTGCGGTAGTACTGCAATATAAGCGCAGTAGTACTACAATAATACTGCAATATAACTGCAGTAGTACTGCAATATAACTGCGGTAGTAGTCCATTAATATTGCAATATAACTGCAGTAGTACTACAATAATACTGCAATATAACTGCAGTAGTACTGCAATAATACTGCAATATAACTGCGGTAGTTCTGCAATATAAGTGCAGTAGTACTGCAATAAAAGTCCAGTAGTACTACAATATAACTGCGGTAGATCTGCAATATAAGTGCAGTAGTACTACAATATAACTGCGGTAGTACTGCAATAATACTGCAATATAGCTGCGGTAGCACTGCAATACATAATTCGACTAAAGTACAATACTACTGAAATGCAATACAAATAAAATGCTGTACAATACCATTGAAATACAACCAGAATATCCCAAATAAGTTCACACATCTGCAATAATGAATTAAGGTACAAAACAGTGAATGTCTCAAACTGCAATGCAACAAATAACGTGATTTTTCTTTTTATTTTATTTCAAATAACAGGCTGAGAGTTAGACAATGTATTTAAAGTGTTTATTTACAAATCATGCATACATCTTCCCCCACATTATTCAGAGAAGTTGTGTTTTTTGAAGAGCTTATTCTTATTCCACTTCGTTCTTTTCACTGCCTTCATCTCAGATGTGGAAACACGATTTTGGAAGTAGTCAGTAATAAACAAACAAAAAGAATCAGAGACAATCTTTTCAGTTACTCTTCACCACAGGCATATATTATGCTTAAAATGAATCTGCAAGTTAATGCAGGAACACGCCACTGTTTTTTGAAGAGTGAGTCATTTGAAATACAATAAACGTACAAATAAATATTACAGATTAAAAAACGATCGGAAATGTCGTCCAATTTTCTAATACTATTATTTGATGACAACAATACATTAGGAAAACAAAATACAGCCATTTCTAATTTTTTTTCTTTTAAACAAAAAACCAAGTTGCACCCTTTTTTAAATGTCATCTTTCATTCCGAAATAGAATAATGAATGGACGAAAAAGTACACGGACCACGCACACACACATTTTGATTACTGAAGAGAAATCAAATAAAGTCTCTCTCCTGTACTACCGTTACCTTACTACCCTCATGTGTTGGTAGATAAGGCAATACAAAAGACAAACAACATTTGATTCTATCATAAATATAATTTTTACAAATGTAGACAGACATTCACACCTTATACTGTAGGCTACGCGAGTTGCACATATAAAATGAAGTTAAGGAACAAATACGATCCATCAGGAAAAGCCATATGTCGCTGAATTTCACTGTGCTTTATGAGAGTTTTCAAGAGTTTTTCTTTTGCGTGAAGAAGCCGTTTACCGGAGATGTGTTAAAATATAAGAGTGCATTGATGATTATTAGGCTACCGGTATAAAAACCCTCTTGGCTCCAGGTCTGAGTGAGTCATTCACTCTTACCTTTGTTTTTTGATTAACATTAATGGCACTTTAAGATCAGCCGCTGCTGACAGAGATGCAATCCGACACGTGTCCCGATTTTCTCACAAATCTCCACGTTAATTTAAGATTATTTAAATCCCTTAAAGGTCCCCTGACATGAAATTTTCATTTTCTGAGGTTTTTTAACATTAATATGCGTTCCCCTAGACTGTATTTAGTCCCCTCGTGTCTAGAATTTTCAATCAGTGTAAACCGAGCTTTGGCTATTTTTCTCTTCTCAGACGCGCTGATCTTGAAGCTCCCCCTATATAACGTCATATAGGAGAAAGGTTACTCCCCTTTCTCTGCTTTGCCTTCCCAGAGAATTTGGCCCGACGATGAGAAAACGAGCTAGGAACAGGAAGTACAAACACGCGCAGGCGTGATTTTATTTTTTCCTAGAGAAATAGGAGATTTGAGTTTTTCCTCGAGAGATATCATGGCTTGCAAACGAGCGAAGCATGGCAGTTGCTCAGGGTTCGGATGTACAAATGAACACAAAAGTATTTTTTAGTTCCTTCATCCGCGCCTCTGAAGAAACATTGGGTTAATTTTATTTTCTCTGGAAATGCGCCGACTCAAGTTAATCTTTCTCTCAAAATCTGTTTTTACTGTTTATTTACTGTTTTAATACTGTTTATGCATCAGTACAAGCCAGTGACTAAAATATCAACTTCACGTCGTTTCTTTAATTAGGATGAACATAATCTTATTTAAAGAAAGTGATTAGCAGGATTGATATTCCTGCATCGGCATCGGTTTTCCTTTTTGAATGACGAATATAGACTAATATATCTGCATGAAATAGACAGTTGGCTCATTAAATGCAGGCGCAGAACGCACATTATAGCGGTCAGTCGGCTGTAGTTCTCTCGGTGAGTTCAAGTGCAGCTTTTTACCTCGACGAGAGCGGACGAGTTCCGGGCTTTAGAGAGAACAGAAACTGTGTTACACTGCACAACGAAGCTCTTACTGTATGTACATCATCGAGTCTGCATTGGTGAAAGCAGAGAGAGCAGAAACTGCGTTATACAATAAGATCTTCATTCTCGCAATCGACAGACTGTCATCTGCTTCTCAAATTGCTCATCACAGCAACATTTTCTAAGAATCTAAATACTTAAACTTCTCACTATTCAGTAATCTCGATATCTGTAATAGTAAAAACGTATAATAGTAAAAGTATTCAAGAGAGTTTCACATGTAATATTTAGCTATTTCATATGCAAGCATGTCAGCCAATCACAGCAGTGGGCGGTTACATTGAATCCCACAGCAGACACGCCCCTTCAAACAGACCGTTCAAAGCAGAGGCTAAAATTAAATCAGGCTAGGAAAATTGCCTTTTATTTTTTAAATTATGACTATTTTTGATCTAAAAAACATACTAACATAAGGGCAACCCAGGAAACATTATAAAATAATAATAATAAAAAAAAAATGTCAGGGGACCTTTAAAATTGCTCTAATGAGGACACTCGACAAAACGGACATTTTGGCACATATTGTTTGTGTGTTATGGTTTGTTCAAGCCTGAAAAAGAACTCGATACTGAAGCGCGCCTTTTCCTCCACACAGCTGGATATTTAAGTTGCTGGCGCTCATGCTACGTTCACGGTTGTCACGTGCGCATAGTACATCTTGCCACATATTGGCAAGGCTCATCGGCAGAGATATTACTATCGGCCGATACCGATGACCATTAAGCTTTTATCGGCTGATACCGATGTCGTGCTGATGTCATCGTGCGTCCCCTGACACTTGGCTTTATATGAGAGATCTCAGCTCAATTTTCTCACAAATGCAGTTGAGCAACTTCCTCTTCTAAAACAGTAGACAGCGCTAAACTAAGTGATTCATTTAGTCTCCCAGGAGAAGCCCACTTGCCTTTGCATACAGCTGTGGAAAATGACCAGTGAACAGGTGTTTACTGTATCTTACTGTATCTATAATGAACCTTTTTGAGGTTTTCTTTAGCAAAATGTTATTCTATGTCTAGACATATCCATATTAGATTTAATCTTATTGAATTACATCCTATTTATGTTAATTTATGGTTTATTGTTCAGCATTAATAATGAGTTTGAACACTCCAGATAAAAAGTTAAATTACTCACCCTCATGTCATTCCAACCCCGCAAGACACGGGGAACACAACTGAAGATCTTTTTGATGAAATCTTTCTGTCACTCCATTGACAGTCTACGCAATTTGCCCAATAACATGCATTTCTGGAAAAAAAGCAGAGACACACAATTTTTAAAGTCTGTGAGTGCATATGTGTTTCACCCCAGCCATCGTCTTCTGTTTTTAGTTGTTACCAGTACATTTTCCTGGAAATAGCAATCACACAAAAAAAAGTAAGTTAGCCTACTTAAAAAAAAAAAAAAAAATCTTTACTGCACATAATGTCAAACTTCTGAACATATTTGCTTGTATTTTCCACTAAGTTAGAGTCTGATATTTCTAATATTCCTGATATTAAATTTAAACAAGTAAAGTCACCGTGTATAGCACTTCATACAATACAGATAGTTGAAAAAAAAATGCGTTAAAAGTGATTGACAATAATGCTGCAAAGTGCAAACATAAGTTACACAATCTGCTGTGACGCAGTTAACACTAACGTTAAACAGTGTAACGTTAAACCGGAGAATGGTAAAACTAACATTACAGAATAGAAGCGGCGTTTCCTCTTATTTTCCCACCGGGTTGAACAAAATATACATAAAGTATTTTTTACACCAATCTAAAATAAAAAAAAGAGAAATATTAGGACATTATATGTTATAATTTACTCACCTCTAAGCTGAATGACTTGACAAGGCCTCGCGCAATGAACTTCTTTTCTTCCAGAAAACGCTTCTCTCTATTCCACTTAATGACCGTCACCACGAGTAATGCTGTCATGTCTTTGTGTTTTAATTGTGATAGTTCATAAATAAGAACCTATATGAACGATAATTTCAGTGAGGAAATCAACCAAACCTTATTTTAAGGAGCAGACACTACGCGGAAAGACGGTGACTGACAGTAATGAGCATCAGCTGCTCTCGAGACTCGTTGGCTGCGTTCCAAACCGCATACTTCCCTACTATTTAGTATGGGAAAAAGAGTAGGCGAGCAAAAAAGTATGGATGAATCCAAAAGAGTAGGCGAGAATTACCTGGGTGACGTAGCAATTGTCGCGAGATTCGGACTTAAGTGCGTTCCAATATGCCTACTTTCCTACTATATAGTAGGCGAAAACAGTACGTGAAGGAAGCAGTACGTTCCAAACATCAGTTTTCATAAAAAGAGTAGGCGAGAAGTTCCCGGATGGCTTACTGCTTCCGCCCAGATTTTTGAGTGCTTTTCCACGGCTACTTGTAGCGACACTACTCATGATACTCATCTATCCCAGGAGGCCACGCGAGAGGATACGTCAATGCACATAGCTTGCAAACTGCCAATAAAAATCACAGAAGAAGAAGAAGAAGAAGAGAGGATACGTCAATATCAACATCGCGGAGATAAGCGACGCGGGGGTTTTCAAATGTGAGTAAATACGGTTTAAATCGTATGTGTTAAACTACTATAGAGTAAACGTTTTAACTGTTGAACGTCTAAAGGAGTTAGACAGTATAGTATAGTTGTGATTTTGCTGTAAACACATGTTTTAGTATTGATAACAGGGGAGCTCCAGTAACCGTAAAGTTACGTTTCCAACGTGTATTTACATAACCATACATCTTAAAAACGCTTATTTAAAATGTCTATTTACATCAGGAAGGAAAATATTGTATAAGTATTGCAGATGAGCACATCCCAACATGAAAAATACATGTGTGTGCTATTATGTAGGATAATTCACTGTTGTCAACACTGCTTACATTAGACAAATTATGTGCTGTGAATAAAAACACATATAAAGTAACTAAACATGATATATATTTAATTTGTCCCTTATTGGTGTTGATATATTGAGGAACATTTAAATTGGATTAAAAGTGAGTTAACACATCAACCTCAACATGTAAATGCAGTGTTGAGCTCGTAATGTGAATCTTGTCTGTATGTTACAGGGACAGGAGAACACGCGTGTGTTTATCCAGTGGAGAGAGGCTCATGATGCTGAATGCTGTCATCAAAGAATGGGAACCGCTGTGTTGAGTCGGCAGTAGGGTTTGGGGTTCAGTGCCTGTAAATACATGCTTGTAGTTTGAATAAAGCTGTTTCATGTGTTGACTTGTATATGCATTTGTTTATTGTGATGGTTACTTTTATTTACTTTTATTTGTTCTTTTACTCATTTATTCATGTTTCTTATTGTTGTCAGTATATAAAATGTAATTAATTTATGCATTAATTCATCGATTGACTGACAATTGAGATGTTTCACTGCATTTAGCAATATAAATGAATTAATGCATTACTGTCATATTACAAAACAAATGACATTTTGCTTGTTTTATTAAATTATATTTTTAGTATATAAAAAGTTATATAAGTATTGGTCAGCATTTAATATTATTATTTTGTTTAAGTTTTGGGGTGGGCTAACAATGAAATTCATTCTGAGGTAATATTAATTTTTAAGCAGTGATACTTACATTTTTGGAGTATAAAATCAACAGTTTTCTCCAAAAGAGATCTTCAAGCAGCTGCCCGTCTCCTTTGTGCAGACATTACAAGCGCTGTTCTAGGTTGTGCTGTCAAGTTACTGATGTTATGAAGTGTTAGAGCACCTGTCGCTCATATAATTTAAACTTATTAATATGCAAGATCATGGAAAGATACTATAGTTTATGTAACAATCATAGTGACAAAACAGAAAATATAAAGATCATTGGTTTGTGTACATCATAATATGACATAAAATTATATTTATACACAGGAAATAAGAACAATAAAAAAGGCTAAATATCTTCATTATAGTTCTTCATAATACATAAAAAAAGTTGTTGTTATATCTGAGGGATGAAACGAGGTAAATTCATGAAGAAAAAGAGGAAAACTTAAAGGAGAAACTTTTTGGGTATAAAATAAAGAAATTAACAACATAATCAAGAGATGATAAAGTATCGTTAGAATAACACTGTTGGTCAGTAGGGTTTAAAATATAACAACTTAAATCAACCCTAAATGTATTCACAAAATAAATAGGCAGCTGTTTCTTCAACAATACCACAACAAAATGAGCAAGTTTCATCAATATCAAGATATTTATAGGTAGATTAATTAAACGTATCGTTCATATTTTTTTTAATTGCATGAAGGTGTTGCGCTTGTGATAACGCGTAGTAGGTCACATGATAACGTCAACATGGCAGATGTCCGGTTCGCATTCATACTCAACGAGATTTGGCTATAAAGTACCTACTCTTTTAGCGCTCGATGAGTAAGTACTTATTGAAATTAAGTACCTACTCATTGAGTATGCGGTTTGGAACGCAGCCGTTGTCAGGACAACGCCCGCGGCGCGTGCGCGCGAAGGAAGCTCTGGTCACATGGGCTATGTCTCGCACATAACTGCAGTAGTTTAATATTGGTAGGCCAAGACTTCAGATGCAAAAAACAAAAACTTCATCTGTCTTTTTTTCATACTATAAAGCTCCTTTATTTAGGTTCAGTAATTCCACTTTTTAATGGCAACTAAACTGATATCTACGGAAGCCCTGAACCGCAACCTAAAAAAAAAAAAAAAAGTCAGTAAAAAAAAAAAATCTAAAAAAAAAAAAAATCTGTAAAAAAAAAAAAAAAATCTGTAAAAAAAAAATCTGTAAAAAAAAAAAATCTAGCATTTCGAGATTAAAGTCGAAATGTTTCGAGATTAAAGTCGAAATGTTTCGAGATTAAAGTCGGAATGTTTCGAGATTAAAGTCGAAATGTTTCGAGATTAAAGTCGAAATGTTTCGAGATTAAAGTCGAAACATTGTGCAGTGCGCGTCCACTGGCTCAGAGCGCGCGCGCGTGTGTGTGTGAAGTCGAACTGCCATGGATAAACACAAAATAGTAGCTTTTTACTTTTATCTGGGCTTTCAACAAAATTCTACACACGTCACACGTGCTACTGAGGTGTTTTTCGTGCTCGTCTCAACACTATCTGGGTCGAGAACACAACAGTAACTGTTCGGTCTCCTCTTCCCCGTAAATACGCTCTGGATACATTTTAAGTGCATCATTCTGTATCCAATCATTTGGCCGGATCCTGTGATTTCCTAAGATTTAATAACCACTTATGGTTGAGGAGAGATTCTGTGATATGATTGTAAAGCACTTTGAGTGTAGGCATATATGAAAGCGCTATAAATGCCCTATTCATTCATTCATTCATTCATTCATAAAGCTGGATTTCTCCATCCAGTCTGAAAAGTGTTTTCCGTGTTGGTTTTCCTATAGGCTAAAGTCTATTCCGGCGCAGTATATTTTATAACGTCCTATAATGGTAGCCTAATGCTGGTAGATTGGCACCTGTTGAATTTCCTTTGATGAAACAAAACACACACACACACACACACACACACATACACAGTGTGAAACTCGCTATCGCGTAGAAGCTGCGCGTGTGTGCTTTCCATTGTCTCACATTGCCGCACACACAGGCATTCATAATGGCCAATAGCGAGTTTCACACACTGTGTGTGTGTGTGTGTGTGTTTTGTTTCATCAAAGGAGACCGAAAAGCTACTATTTTGGGTTTATCCATGGCAGTTCAACACACACGCGCGCGCTCTGAGCCAGTGGACGCGCACTGTTATGAATGCACAATGTTTCGACTTTAATCTCGAAACATTTCGACTTTAATCTCGAAACATTTCGACTTTAATCTCGAAACATTCCGACTTTAATCTCGAAACATTTCGACTTTAATCTCGAAACATTTCGACTTTAATCTCGAAATGCTAGATTTTTTATTTTTTTTTTTACAGATTTTTTTTTACAGATTTTTTTTTTTTTTTTACAGATTTTTTTTTTTTTTAAGATTTTTTTTTTTTTACTGACTTTTTTTTTTTTTTAGGTTGCGGTTCAGGGCTTCCGCCTGAGAGCCCAATAAAAACAAAAAGCTAAAAAAAATGGATTAGTTTTCTCTATCAAAAAAAAGTCTATCACTTTTTAAAGTGTATCACTGAACTGAAGTTATTGTATCTAGGCTACTACTTCATTATACTGCAAATCTACAGTTGTACTGCAGTTTTACTTCACTATTCTGAAGTTGTACTTTTTGTACTGCTGTTTTACTGCAGTTGCACTTTAATGTACTCTAGTCACATTGTATCTATACTGCAGTTATACTTCATTAATACCGCAAATCTACAGTTGTACTGCAGTCACATTGTATACTGCAGTTATACTTCGTTAATACTACAAATCTACAGTTGTACTGCAGCCACATTGTATCTATACTGCAGTTATACTTTGTTAATACTGCAAATCTACAGTTGTACTGCAGTTTTACTTCACTTTTCTGAAGTTGTACTTTTTGTACTGTGGTTTTACTGCAGTTGCACTTCAATGTACTGCAGTCACATTGTATCTATACTGCAGTTATACTTTGTTAATACTGCAATTCTACAGTTGTACTTCATTGTACTGCAGTTATACTGCTTTGAACTGCAGTTTTACTGCAGTTGTACTTCATTGTACTGCAGTTATTTTTCGTAAGGGGCTGGCCTCGTCTTGTCTGGTATTTTCAGTCAATCAGTCTCCATCTCCACCAAGTTCATGCGGTTTCCTAGTTGAACGTCATGTTTCCTTCTAGAAAAGATAAAAGATTTTATTCCGCAGATTGATATTGAATTTACAGAAAGGTGTGATGAAGACCTGAGATTGGAAGAAATCGAGTCCGCTTTAAAAAAATGCCTTTAAATCCCCTGGTCAGGATGGTCTGACTACAAATTTTTATAATTTTTTCTGGGAAGATTTAAAAGATCTGTTGTTTAAAGCTTTAAAGGAATGTTTTGATTTTAACTCTTTACTTCCAACTATGAAACAGGGATTGATCATTCTCATCTCAAAGGCAGGCAAAGACAAAAGAGTTATTGATAATCTGAGACCGATTACATTACATCAATGTTGATTATAATTCTTACATCTGCTATTGCAAACAGACTAAGAGTCAAGTTATAAGTGACACGCAATCTGGCTTTATTAAAGGAAGGTTAATACACAACAATATTAGACTTGTTTTAGATTTAATTGACTATGCACATTCGATTAAGGATGATGGGTTTATTTTGTTTCTTGATTTCTATAAGGCATTCGATACTGTAGAGCATGCATTCATTTTACATGCAGTTACTTCTTTTGGATTTGGTTATAAATGTGTTAAATTGATAGAGATGTTGTATAAAGATATCAATAGTTCAGTATCGCTTCCAGGTGGAAGGTCATCCAATGCAGTATGACCACATTGTGCTCACTATGGATGGGCAGGTACACAGAAGAGAGCGAGGACATCTTGATGGCATTGGGTCTCGTCCTGTGTGTTTTAATTTGTGTTTGGGATCCAGTATCCTAAAGGACTCAAGAAGACACTGACCTTTTTGGAGTGTGTTACATTGAAACTGAAAGATGCAGCCGGACTTCCTGTTACAAAAAAATAGACTTTAGGACTCAATAATCTCTTTCTGGATGGCCAGTTCAAGAAAACAAGCACGTTTACACTGATACATACGGAAGCCCTGAACCGCAACCTAAAAAAAAAAAAAAAAGTCAGTAAAAAAAAAAAAATCTTAAAAAAAAAAAAATCTTACAAAAAAAAAAAAAATCTTACAAAAAAAAAATCTGTAAAAAAAAAAAAAAAATCTAGCATTTCGAGATTAAAGTCGAAATGTTTCGAGATTAAAGTCGAAATGTTTCGAGATTAAAGTCGGAATGTTTCGAGATTAAAGTCGAAATGTTTCGAGATTAAAGTCGAAATGTTTCGAGATTAAAGTCGAAATGTTTCGAGATTAAAGTCGAAACATTGTGCAGTGCGCGTCCACTGGCTCAGAGCGCGCGCGCGTGTGTGTGTGAAGTCGAACTGCCATGGATAAACACAAAATAGTAGCTTTTTACTTTTATCTGGGCTTTCAACAAAATTCTACACACGTCACACGTGCTACTGAGGTGTTTTCGTGCTCGTCTAGTCAACACTATCTGGGTCGAGAACACAACAGTAACTGTTCGGTCTCCTCTTCCCCGTAAATACGCTCTGGATACATTTTAAGTGCATCATTCTGTATCCAATCATTTGGCCGGATCCTGTGATT